ATGTTCCTCATTCTTTTTCAGGAAATACCTTGAGGTTTTAAAACAGTTCTGTAAAATCCTTAGCCTTCTCCAACCTAATAGCTTCACATAGGAGAGTGAATTCAAGGTTTGTCAGGATTTTTGGAGCCATGACTAAATGTATTGTAATTGGAAAAAAATCTGTGCAGACAAATTATTTCCCTTACCTCATTGTTCTTCTTGTCCAAGGGAGAGAAGTAACTTAAGTCTAATCCATCCTCAACTGCCTTGGACTGTAATACCCTGATTTTAACATGGATTATAATAGTGAGCTTATAGGATAGCTTAGTGCAATATGAGTAGTCTTGTGAAGAGATGACATCTTATCTAACGTTTGTGATCAGAATTGAAATTTCAAAGAACTTCTTTTGCTCCCACAATCTCCAAAATAAAACATGGCAGACAAGACAGATTCTCATCAGTTGCCGGCCTTGCGTTTATTTCTTTGGTGCTTGCGTTTATCAATGAATCTTCCTTGTTCTGTGACAGTTAACATGATGAATGTGTTGTAGTCTTCTAAGTTTCCTGGTAGAAAAGTTTCATGAGGCCCATTACTTCAAGAAAATGTATTTTTGTAGCAAGCTTAGATCTGCATAGTCTGTAGGTGCTAGGTTTTCTGATACAAGTGGTAGAGGGGGAGTTGCACTGAAATGTGTTTAATGCTTGCAGTCTGTTAATTGGGTAAATACTGCAGAGTCCTTTTTGATAACAAAAAGTAAATACAGCTGACATTACATCCTTCTTTAAAGGAGTTCTACTTTGTATTTAGACACATAAGTTTCTTGTTTAAACCTTACCGCTCTAGAGGGAAAATACACTAAAAGAGCAGAATGTTGTTGTCATGTAACTATGAAGACTCTTTATAGGCTGTCCTCTTTTTTTGTTGTTGGTTACTTTGTGGCTAATATTTTAAAAATGGTAGGAGAGGGAAAGCAAAGAAAATAGGCATTGAGCATTGATATTAAAATAAATGCTTGCCTTACCAAATCTTACATTATAATAAAAATATATGCCAGGAACACTTTAGCCGTATTGAGTATTTTCTCCCTGAATATCTTGTCTTTATTGAGGAGTCTTAATGTCTTGGATATAAATCATTTTTTCATATACCATTAACTGGAGAGCTGGAAACCTCAATGGGTACTTTATGATTTCTGGGCAGAAACATGGGAGGATGACTACTCTTTCTTTATGTATGTATACTGTGTTCTGTTGGAATAGCCAAGCTATTATTTCAATACAAATGGCCTCATCTTGGGTTTTCTAACTGTTTTAGAGATATCTTGCAATGAAGGTACTTGCTATGTTCCAGCTATTCCAATTACACATGCAGCTATCAAGCATGCATCTCCCTCTTTGGAAACAGGCTTTTTTGGAAATGTTTGCTTTCTTCTCAGTTAGTTCTGTGTGCTTTTTTGCAAGTTATAAACTGCTGTGTGTGGAGAAGTCTTTTTGTTACTGCCTGGGAAATGTCTCTTATTGTTCTACCTCATGGCACTAACTTCCTCTGGAGAGCTACTGTGCAGGTTAGTTTTGTGTTTACAAAAGCAATGCTGGCCAACTCAGTTGTACAAACTAACAGGAATAAAACTGTGGCTTTTTGGAGTCTAATGCGTCACTTTTGGATAGTCAACTTTTAAAACAGACATAATCAAATTCAAAGAGCGTGCTTTCTTAAGCCTGCCTTAGGAAGGAAACGTTCTCTTGTTTTATATGGCTCTAATTGCAGTGCCTGAAAAGTGAAGGTGGGTAAGCTTGCTGGGAAGTCTAGAGAAAGAAGGGTTCTGTCACTGTTTTCAGTGACTTAAGACCTCAAGAAATGTTCAGAAAAGACCAGCAGGTAGCTGTACCCTATTATCTGTGATAAAAGATTGTCAGAACATGTCTCTTAACCAAGTGTTCTGAGTGGTTTAATTTAGCTTCCTCCCACATGGATCAGTTATCCTAGCAAGTAAATTGAGCATATGAACTCTCACTTTTGCTTATGTTTTGATCTCACAAGAGGCAAAATGCTGTAGGTGTCCAAATATGAGCATCAGAAGATAAGCACATGCATACCTCAGCTTTGAGGAATCCTGGAAGTAACTATTTTGCTCTGTACTGTGTGTGTCTGCTATATAAAAGGGTGTTTTCCTTCATGTCTTGCAGCTGAATTTCTTCAGTGTTAGGTCAATTGATAAACAGCTTCAAGACCGAATACCATCAATTTAGGGGGAAACTGGGAGGAACACTGTGGGTTTCCATAGGACTTATTGCTGTCTGTCAGGGGAGTTGTTCAGGAAGGTGTGAGCAAGCTAGGGGAATGCAGAGCTTGTCTGTCAGCTGTTAGAACTGGTAGATTCAGTGGCAAGTGCTTGTGTTTTCAAGCCATTGCCTGGTGTCAGATGCAACTTCAGACATTTTTTGGTTTAATGTGTTACTACTAACTTATTTGTGCCAAATAATGGATTGCTAGTTCCTTAGCTAAAATAAATAGGACAAAGTTGGGGGGAATAGTTTGGTAGCTAACAGTATATGACATAGCTCTTCATGTAATGGCTATGTCTCTGCATGTAATTACTATCAGATATCGACATGGCATTATCTTTCATAGGACTTTATTAATATTATGGTTGTCATAGCCCAGGGTGAATTTAGTATAGTGTACATGAGCTCCAGTCCTCAGCTAATTCATGGCTGTTGATTTCCAGTAATATGTTACCTTCCAAACTATACCACCAAGAAATAGTAGCTTGCGAGTTGGAAGCGCTGACTATCATCTCTTTCCTTCTCCTTTTCCAGTCGCACTGCTGGTTTGTTTTTCAATGGCTTCTCCATGAACTTGTGGTTGTAGTAGCACAGGACAGCATTCTGGCAGTATTGAATAAAATACAAAACTCAGAATCTGGCCTGATAAAGTATAAACTCTTTATTCATTTTTTGTGTGCTTTCTTGACATAAAGGTAGTAGTATAAAGTATTTGCAAACATCTGTTTCAAAGACAAGAGCCTTATTACCCTTTAAAGACTTATTTTATAAACAAATCCTCCTTATGCATGTTTAAGAATATTACTGTCATGCCCTTGCCTCAAGAGAGAAGAAATTGTTATGCTGTTGTGTAGTGTTGGCTGCAGAATGCCTCTTGGGTAACTCAAATACAGCTTCTGAGCTTGGGTTCCGTCATATGGCCAGCTGTTGTGCTTATGCTGGTGTGTGAACTCCTGGGTAGCCTAACACAGCTGCAAAGGGAAGCAGGACACCAGGACTGCTGAAAAATAGATCTCCAGGTTGCTCTGGGAATGCAGCTGCATTTCTGACCCTGTTCTGCGATGACAATGGGATTCTTGGGAAGCTTTTATATTCACGGGGTGGGGTATCATATCTATTTCACTGCCCAAGATAGGCGTGTTCTATGGCTCCAAGCTGCAGAAATACCTGTCTGCACACAAAGTAGGGAGAGGCTGGCCAAGCCTGCAACGATTACAGTAATCCAGATATTGCTTGTTAAGTGCAATTATATATTTGAAATTTCATCCTGTTTCTGAATATTAAGTGAATGCGAGATCTTCACCCAAAGAACCAGACTGATGTAATTTTCCTGTGCTTAATCTAATTCAGTGAAAATGGGTGTGAATGTTTGTTTTTTTTTTTAATTATGGCAAAAACTAACCTGTGTTGACAGCTACTTAGAAAACCCTCCCTGTCTTAGATTGAAGAGGTGTATTAGGTGCTAAAGACCAGACCTGCTAAAATATTCTCTAAATCCTGAAGTACTTGAGCTGTAAGGGATTAGGTGTCTTGATTTCAGTTTGTCCTCAGAGGTAGCTAGCTTCCCCTGAAGAGCTGTGAACAGCATCCATTCTCTAGCTGACACCTGGATAAATATGCATGAATTTGTCCTTCTAGGAGCAGTTACTAATGCTATGTCTTCTAAAATATTGATCTTGTAGGAAAAATGGAACATAGTTCTGTTAGTCAAGCAGGACGTTTGGAGTGATCTCAATGGATAATGTGAACTTAATTGGAAGCTACTTATGTGAAAGAGCAAGGATTAATAATCTAAAGTTAAGGAGAAAATTCATAAAAAATAAGTAATAATTTAAAAAATCTTCTTAATACACAGCTTATGTGCTATCTCATTAAATTTGTGTGTAGCCTGGGAGCTCTGTTTTCCCATTGCTAGGAGTGTTGGCTCGATTGGCATTCCTCCAACAAAAAAGCAGATTCTTAGCTCTGAAAAACCTGTCTCTGATAAGAACATACTTATTGATGGGCTTGCTTTTTCCTCTTGTCTCTCGGGCAAAAATATATCTCCCGGTTATAGCAAAAGTTAAATCATGGTGTGTAGGGACTTCAGTTATGAAAATCTTGATCCCATCTTTGTTATGAGAAAGGTGGAGTTGAAAACTTTTGCTAGAGTTGCAGACATACCATTTAAAACCTTTGCAGATCCTCTTGCATTTGAGGGCTTCACTGTGCCGTAAGAGCAACTTTTTCTAGAGTGTTACTGGAATCGTTTCAGGTGATGCTTGGCCTGTGAAGGTGTTTCCCCTTCTTCTGACTGTCTGTTGAAATCCCTCAAAGAGAAGGGGAAGAACACTTAAAGCTTATGCTGGTAACTTCAATGCCTTAATTTCTTTCTGGATTTCTGGGTAAACCAATGTGTTTTTCCAACATGGATAAGCTTTTAATTTTAAGACTTCATTTCCTGATTTTTACCTTAAACTAACAATAGATAAAATACTCCAAAAATATTTAGGAAGCAAAGTCTTGGAAAGGAAACTATTTCCCATAGTGATTGTTCCTACATTTCTCTTAGCCACTCGGTTATGTCATATTGGCTGAATAATTATTTTAGTGCCTTCCTAGTCCTAACCAGGTGTTGTACTATGCGGAATGAAATGTGGAGGCTTTTATTCTTTGAACTGTCTTCTAGTTTCAGCTCAAAATACTGATAAAAATATAATTCTGACACTTAACTGGTATCTCTTATTACAGGGGGAAGATTTTCTTTAACGTGATTACTTACAAGCAGTAGTTCCTCATCATGGCTGAACTATCGCCTGAAGAAATTCAGCTGAGGGCCAACCAGGTCACTGATGAGGTAAATATTATAGGAAGCCACCTGGGATAACAGTACTTATCTGCCTAGATTATAATACCTTTTAAAATAAAAACAGCCTAGGATAGTAGTTCTGCAAAAGTATAGCTGAATGTTTCAAACTTTATGTGGTAAATACTGGAGCAAAGACAACTCCTAAAAGTAAGAATGAATTCAAACTTCGGAATTGTAAAACCACCTAGTTGACTGAGTGCTGACTACCCTGTCCTGATTACTGAGGCAATGCAGACGGTGTATCTACACTATTCTGATGTTGATGCTTCATGACATTTTTATTTGACTAAAATTAATTTGAATGTATTTTCTTTTATAATGACTTTCCAGTGGGATAAGCGAAGTACTAGCAAGTACTGAAAAACAAGGGCTTGCTAGCTACTGAAAAAACCTCTAGAATGCTGCCACTATGACTGTTGTAGCACATACTACGTGTAGACAGGCTGATGAACCTTTGTATACTAGTTGCCTTACTGCAATGAACTGGTGAAGAAGACTTTCAGACACTGATATATACTGTTAACACACTAATTTTAAAATTCTCTTTCTAGTCTCTAGAAAGCACAAGGAGGATTCTTGGCTTAGCCATTGAGGTAAGGAAAAGCTTTTGAATTCCCTGGGGATTTATTAATTTAAGTATAGGAAGCAGCATGTTAACTATCACAAAGAGGTCTTAATCACTTTTTTGTCTTCCTCAAAGTTTTTTTTTGAGAGCAGTTGCTGCTTTAATTTAGTAGCAGCATTGGAATGACTTAAACCTAATGTTTTTCTTACTATATAAAGTCAGATAACAGAAAGATTAATATCATCTTTACCTGTTTTCCTCTTAAGCAAAATGTCCTAATCTCCAGATTCTACAGACCAGTTATAAAAAGTCTTCTGTGGTGGTTGGTTATGGCTTTGGCTGCTATGACTTGCTTCCCATAACATCTTCCTTTTGTCTTTTAGTTCACTTTGATGTGAACAATGTGAAAAAGTCTTGCTTTGAGGAGAAGGGTAGGACTTGTATGGATTAGTAGAGGGTGGGGTTGCCTTTGGTTCTAAACAAAAGTAGTTCTACATACACCTTTTTACCATCTGCTCATCAGTTTTAATTTTAAGATAGTCAAGTATGATGATGAAGCTCTAAATACCTGTGTACATGACTTGAAACAAAATAAATCTGTATTTTGTGTTTATCTCAGTGATGTTATATTAGGAATCTGTTCTTCTACACTTTTAGGCTTGCATGCCCCATTGTAAAAATGACTGAAAGTTTTAATTTTGATATTGTAATTTCAAAAAATATAGAGCATCCTGTTGGCAGGGAGTAAGATAAGGTGGCTGATAGTCAGCTCTGGTAGACTTAGCAAGGGTTACCTCGTTCAGCAAGACAGTTTTGCTAGTATTTGTATATGCCATAGACAAATGGGAATCCTGAGACTAAGCAGTAATGCCTTTCAAAGCTAATGCCGAGTCTTTTATTGCTGAAGACTTGAGACAATTTATTGTCAGCCTGAGAACACTAAAAAATAAATCCCATGAATGAAGTGTTTGGTCACTGCTGCTTTAGAGCCTGTACTCACTGTCTAGGTGATAGCAGCCTGCTGTGGAACTGACGATGCTACTTTTACCGGTGAGGCATTTGAATCAGCGTAGCCTAATGACTACCTCTAAACTGTAAATTGTAAGAACATGTAATGAGCCAACATAATTTCTCTTGGTATCATAGTTTGGTGACTTGTAGAAGCTAAAATAACTCCTGACACAGACAGTTGTATGCTGAAAGTTCACCGTAAAACATGGGTGCGGCTTGCATGCTGGACTCAAGACTTCAAGGCAGAACAGAGCTGTACTGTGGTGTATTCCTTACTGCTGACTGCTTTTGCTTGGTTCTAAAACTAGTGATGGGCTATTCTCCTCCTGATCTGCTGAATTCTCAAGAATGGTTTTACAGGCTTTGCTTTCTTTTATTCTGGCTTCCAGGACTGAAGGCTTTTTCATCCCTGTTGAAGGGTGTAGGGATAAAGAATGAACTAAATGCCACTTTTTCAAGACAAGGCACAGCTAGGTTTGCTTTTTTTAGCTTGGTATTGTCATAGTTCAATCTGACTATTACAATAAATTTTATTATCTTGTTGTAATGTGAAAAAAAGTCACAAAGAAACCCCACTAATTGAGATAGTGTAATAGATGAGATTATTATCAGCCTAACATAAGATCTAATTTGAAACTTAGCATAGCCTTACTACAGAAGTTACTCCTAGCACACTATTTTATTATGAACTCAGTTGCCTTATCAAATTTACTATAGAGACCTTTGATTTTGCACTGATGGTTTTATGTCTACAAATAAATTTCTTTCTGCAGTCCCAGGATGTTGGCATCAAAACCATCACTATGCTGGATGAACAGGGAGGTGAGTTCTTCCTTCTTCCTCTCTAACAGTATAAATCAATTTTATGGTTGTAAGAAAAAGGATTATCATTCAAGAGTTGTTGCTGAAACTAAAGAACTAAAGGCTTATTAAAGACTACTTAGGTGAAAATGAGTTTTGCTAATTGGTTATTCCCATGTGCTTGTAGTATTTAAAAGAGGTTTTAAAGTAGTTGACGGACTGTTAGTTAAAGTGTAATACAACCTCTGCTGCAGAAGCTGTTCCTTTCTACCACAGCATGAATATAACTGCATTTATTCTAAAAGCAACACAAGTGCTGCTCTAAGGATAGGGAAGATATTTTTAATATAGTAAAGAAAATGTATCAGTTAATATTTTTCTTAATTTAAAAAAAATCCTAGAAGGCAGGAAAGCAAAAAGGCATTAGTCTTGGTATAAAGGCAGAACAGAAACTTTTAAATTCCTGCTTGAAAGAAGTGTTAAAATCCCACCCCCACCCTCCCCCAATCTGTGTTTATTCAGGTTATTTGTTTCTCTTCTAGAACAACTAAATCGCATAGAAGAAGGCATGGACCAAATAAATAAGGATATGAGAGAAGCTGAGAAGACACTGACAGAGCTCAACAAATGTTGTGGGCTCTGTGTCTGTCCTTGTAACAGGTCAGTTAAATTGGTACTTGGATCTGAAGCTCTAGAATATTCCCAGTAGCTACTGGTCTGAGAGATGGTCTCTAATAAAAGATCTAATTAAAAAAATGCTGAATCTCTGGGAAAGCCAAGGGGTTTGGTTTGTAGAGGTGCACCCTTTTAAAATTGTAGGAGAGTAGCTAAAGCTTACTTGCATGTAACAATATATTGTGCCCCGTTCACTGTAAATATAGCTGCTGTATAATGTCCTGCACAATTGTGCACTAATCTCCTTGAAGCTTGTTTTTAATAGAATGCTATCAATGTCCGTACAGATGAGACCAAATTGGACTGCAAATAGCTATATGTGAGTGCCTGTCTGTTAGCAATTTGGCTCCAAAAATAATTTTTCACACAAGTACCTTTGTACGAACTTAAAGGCAAGAAAATTTCTATTTTGGCGAAGGAAAGAAACATTGGTTCTCTAGGCATTTAAAAAAATGTTCATGCTTTAGGGAGGAACAGAGTAGGCGAATGGATGTTGGTATTAAAGCTTTAATTTTTCACCGATGACTAAATAAATTCTTGCAGACCTGCTTCACAGTACTTTTATAACATCAGTGTTATGGCTACCATATCCAAGTCAGTTAAGAGTAATCTAATCTTTTGTATGGCACTTGATTTGTACTTCTAAACACCTAAACAGCCTAAACAATGAGAATACATCAGTATTATAAGGAAAACAATATTTGTTTTTTGAAGGTGTGCTAGTTTTATCTTTAAGAGCAAAGTATCAAAATTATTTGTGTGAATCAGATGTGATCATAGCTCTTCCAAGTGAAAGAGAAATAAATTTTTTTAAGAGTGTGACCGCTGAAGCAAACAGTGTTTGTTCTCATTAGCATGAGCAAAAAAACCCTTTATCATTCAAGTGAGAGGTAGCAGAAATTTAAGTAAAAATTCCTTGGAGTAGCTGAGTCTGCTTATTCAACAGAACACTACTTTGAGGATCATTTAGGATAGATATGAATGTGGCTTCTCAGGCTGAAAGTCTTAGAGCTTTAGTATCTTGAAAAGGCAGATAGTTCTGCCCTGACCTCTGGATAGGTGTGCTTACTGTTTTATATTAGTTCTATCAAGCTGATGGACTTTGAGCTGTTTGACACACTCAGTCTTTGTTTTCTGTAGCTGACAGTCTTGTTTCACCAAAGCTAAGCAGCTTATTGACACTAAGCAAACTCAGAATTTGTGAACTCTTGTGGCACTCCAGATACACAGATAATGACAATAAAATCAATAATGAGTTGCATATGGAAATAGGCAGTAGTGTGCAAAAAAAATATCTACTAGATAAGTAGAGGGCAGAAGAAACTATGAATGCCTTTTGTGTATATACTGGTACATCAAAAAAAAAATATCTACTAGATAAGTAGAGGGCGGAAGAAACTATGAATGCCTTTTGTCAATTTTTCTGACAGTTATTTGTCAACCAGTTATCTCCAAAGCTTTTCATTTTTATTTTTTTTCACAAAGCATGAGGCTAAATCAGAACACTTGATGAAATAAATATTGCTTTTCTCATTTCTCCTCGGGTTAGGTTATTGATAAAAGCTTTGTGAAAACACAAAATACTGGCAGTACTCTAATATAATCTATGTGCTAATAACAATTTACCTGTTTGGTCTTTACTATTCTTTCTTCATTCTCTCCTAACACTGCTTGCTTTCTAAAAATGAAGACTAGGATAAGAAGCTGTATTCACTTAACTGGTGAAAGCGGATTTTAGGACAAGGTCAGTCTTACTAGTGCAGATGTACATTTAACCAGCTGTCTGGAGTGATGCTTCTGTTGAATTTGTGCTTGCACGTGCATGATGTCTGCATGCAGGTCTCCTTGTGACTGTGATGTGTTGTAATACTGATGTGAATAGAAAATGTCAATTACTAGAGAGTATATTAGCTGTGGAAATGTTGAACAACTTCTTGAGCCCTTGCTGGTTTGACAGGTTGTATAAGTTGCCTTACTCTTACAGAAATGAAACATAAGAAAAGTGAATGTATAGTAATTTGAAAGGCAGCTCTTAAAAAAAAATCAGGTGGTGAAAAGCTTTGTTCTTAACTGTGCTTAATTTGAGCAACAAGTCTGTTTAACCAGCTGTCTGGAGTTTCTAGCTGTCTACTTCAGATGTGCAAGGAGTTTTCAGGCCACTTATTTTTGCTCAGTAAATTCCTCACAGTTACCTCTGGCACCTAAGACTTTGCTAATCCAGAAGCCAAGCATACAAAGTTCTCCTGTTGCAGCTTTAGTATGAATGAGATTAAAATGTAACACTCAATCTGTCTGCAGTAAATTTAGATCTTTAAACCTGTGTATGCACAAGGAGCTAGAATTAACTAGTTCAGGTTTCTTTAGGGTTCTGCTGGGTGCAACAGTTCCATTATTAAGTAAGAAATTATTCCTTTTCTTCCCCTTGATGTATTCATAGTAGATGACTTGTCATAGGATCTAACCTGTGAAATATAATTTCCCATTTTGATTGCATAAATGCTAGAAGAATGGAGGGAATATTTCTTCATTACATCTAATTTCTTACCTCTTCAAATGTGAAAAATGTGGGCTACTGAAAGGCACTGTATCTATAGAAATTGATTACCTGTAATTGAAAAGTTAGATGTACTGGAAGACACTACAGATTTCCCTTCACAAGCTTTTAATGAAGCGGAAAACATCAGTGGAGTCTGAATTATCTAGCTTAAATCTGACAATGCCAGCAAACAAGATGAATATGAAAATATTCTTCTCAAAATGTTCTTTAGGGTTCATGAGAACTGACTCTAATTTAGATCAGTTATTTTTCTGTTATATTTTCTTCCCCTCTTGCTTTTGTAGGTATGTGATTTTGAGATTGCTTTATGTCACTGTGCTTTCTTTAATTTATTTTCCTCTTCTGAATTTTGTGGTAAAAGTGTAATGGTAAGTTGGTTTGTTGCTCCGATGGAATTAGTACAATTGAACTGCAGAATGAAGGAGCTATTTAAACATGATTACTGTTATTTCATAATCAAAATTAACCTGAGAAACATTAACTTGAAAAAGAAAGCCTTGGCAACAGAAAATGATCACCAATAAACAGTAGGGATTAATGGTTTTCTTGCATAGTACAGCTACTTGTATTTGATGGAGTTTTTTCCTTCATTTTTTCCCTGAAAAATAGCTAATCCTGACTCTAGATTAACTTCTGTTGTAAATGCAACTTCATCGTATGACAGCGTAAGCTTTCCTGTTACCCTTGTAAGCTTCCCCTCTTCTGGTAAAAAATATTACCTTAAGGAAATTATTGTGCTTGTATTAAAACTTAAGACCAGATTAATCAGCTGCCCCTAGAGTAACTCAATATGTTTATAGTATCCCAGTATAAGAAACTGTATTGTATAGGCAAGGCTTTGTCTATACAAAATCTCATCTCTTTCAATCAGAAGACAAATGTTTCTGAAAATCTTAGATTAATACAGAACTTCAGTGAGGAAACCATATTTCTGATGTAGCAGTTCAGACTTCTTACTTTTATGGATTAGGACGAAGAATTTTGAGGCTAGCAAGTCATACAGACAAACCTGGGGAGACGGAACGGAGAACTCAGCAGATCATGTGATATCCATGCAACCAAGAAGAATAAATCAGCAGCAGCCTCAGACTTCTGGAGGGCCAAGTGGTGGATATATTACAAGGTTTGCTTCTTCATATTTCTCAATCTTAAATGCAGAAATCTTAAATTACCAATTGTCAGCTTCTTTCAGATGCATTTTTGGTGAGGTTGCTAAATAGTAAGCTTTTTACTCCTGCTTGGAGGAACTGTTCCTGTTTGGGAGGAGATGAGACACCTACACTTTCAGTATTGTAGTGTTCATTTTATGCTTCAGTTTTTTTCATAGTGGTTGTATTCTCAGTCTGTTTCTGGATGTGAGGACTGTAGAGCTTAGTGCTCAGTTATTGAGGGCACTGTTAAAAGTATCAAGGACTTTTATTGTCATAAAGTATACTTGAGACAAACTCATGTCTTAAAATAACAGCTACCAGAGGAAGTTTAAGGCTTTTTTTGTCATAGTGGCGAGCTTAGCACCCTTTTTTGGTGGGCTACTTGCTTCGAATACATGGGGCTTTAAAAGGGAAAAAACATACCTTGGCTTGAATACATTGCCTGTCATAACTGTGCAACAAACAATTTCTATTAAAGTAAATTTAGGGAAAAGCAAGGTCTTGATTCTTGGAAACATTGTCTTAATTATTTGAACAGGATAACAAATGATGCCAGAGAAGATGAAATGGATGAAAATCTTGCTCAAGTGGGAAACATTCTTGGGAATTTGAAAAACATGGCTTTGGATATGGGCAATGAGATTGATGCCCAGAATAAACAAATAGACCGGATAAATGTAAAGGTAAGTGTCAAAGGTGTTCTCTGTCTTTAGAGCTTAGAGGTTGTTCCTGAGAAGTTATGAGTGGGCTCACTGTCCTATCTACCTGTATTTGCAGTAAATACACATTAAGATTATACCATCCTCTAGGCTGCAGATGAAGAGATGTATCTTGGTGTTTGAGTATGTAGCTGAAAATTCAAATGCTTCAAAGTGTTAGGAAACCTAAAAATACAGCACAGGTCACTGCTTGCTATGAAAACAACTAAACTTGATTGGATCAAAAGGGCAAACATTTACTGGGGTTGTTGCTTGTGTGTGGTAGGGAATAGTTTTTTTTAACAACAGCAAGGTTCTTCTAGAATTCCTAAAGTCACCCTAATTATTGAACATAAAATAAAACACAGGTAAGCCATTGCCCAAATTCTCATGGACAGGTTAATATTCAGGCTGGAGAGACTTTGGAATAACAGGTTTTGTAGGCGTGTGGGGACATGGTCTGCCCTCATCTGCACCTGAAGTTAGTCATAGCCAGTAGCATCTTTTTATTGCTTTAATTTCTCAAAACAGATTAATCATATAAATGTGTTGGGGTGGGCATCTTTCAGAGGGAAACTTATGAGGAAGTTAGTTATATATGAGAAATCTCCATATTCTAAAATGAATAGTTCTTTTACAGCATCCTGGTTAAGAAAGGAAATGAAAGCTTTAATGAATAGTGTCTATTAAAGATTTAAAAACCCAAAGTGGATACCAATTGCTGTAAAATTATAAAATTAACACCAAATGGGAAGTTAAAGATATCACTGAAATGCCCAGTAAGGTTAAAGGCAAGAGGAACAGAATTTTCTCAAATATGCAGAGCTAGTCTGACATAAATGCTGGTTGTACCTGTGTCAGCATGATCTTATGGAGGATGCCTTAGCTGTCATTCACTGTTCCCTGAAACTGCAGATCTGAGGTGATTATGAAGTACAAGAACTCAAACATTTTAACACTAGAAAAGTTAATTATAGTTTAAAATGAGGTGTGGAATTCTTACAGCTTATAAAGTAGACTGAAAATCACCTGGTCAAATTAACTGCAAGTGGGACTTGCTGTTTTTAGCAACAGTGTTTCTGGTAGCTTCAAGCACCTGTTTTGGCCTGATGCTCTTTGATAAAGGTCTGAACAAACCTTGCCGATCAAGTCTTGGAAACTATTGAAATACGATTATTAAATTAAAATTGCTTTACCCAACAGCAATAAAAATGGAAGTGCCAGTCTGAGGATATTTAAATTGATCCTTTTCTGCTGATAACTGTTTTCAAATCTAGTGAACAGTGCGGAAACTGAATCAAAATGTTGAGGGTAAATCTCTAAAGGCAGTACCATATAAAGAAACAAAGCAGTATTAAGCTTAACTTTAGAAGGGAGTTGATGCTTTTATTTTTATTTAAAAAAAAAAAAATTCCAACTAACCTGGGAAACATACTGGCTTGACTTTTGGTAGCCTGCAGTGTTATGCAGGACTCCTAGTCTGAATAAAACCCTAATAAAAGCTTATGTTACTGTCTTTTTCTTAGAAGGTTTAGTGGCTAGATCAATCTGTTTCCAAAGTGGTGTTAACATGTTAGATTCACACTTTTCTATAGTGATTTCCTGCCCTTCCCCAGTCCTTGACCCAAAGTGCAGGAAGGAAAGAACAGTAGGGAAGGGCTTGAACTGGCACTGTCCTCTTCCCAGACCATTGCAGTATGAAAGTGTGAAGTGGCTAATACTGGGCACAGGTAGAGCTGCTCAGGAGTTCCACTCCTCATGGTGGGGGCAGAGGCTAGTTTTGTGGTTATTATTCCTCCTACTCATTCACCACCACAGGCTGGATATTCAGGGAATTATTTCAAACCTCCTTATCATACCTTTCAGTAAAACTGTGTTTTTACACTGGTTCAGCCTAGATGCTGTAGCTGACCATTGATGCTTTATAATAATAAATTATGAAGTGCTTTTCTTACAGATACTGTACTGTTATGACACTAGGACACTGGAGGGTGTGTGGATGAACACCAGGAATTTGCACTAAGCAAAATAATTCTGACTTTGTCTGTAGGTCCCTTCCGGTTTTGATTATTACTTCTAGTCCATAGCAACAAAGTTGCTCTGTAGATGTCCTTAAGATGTCTAAACACTTGAAGAGAGGGGAATATTCATCCCTTTGTTCTGTCAATATTCTTCCTGACTTGCTGAAGCAAGCTGCTGTATGTTTTGAGGGTCAGCTAAAGACTTAAACTATTTCTCCTGATTGTTTCTGCCAAAACTGAAAACCTATGCTGGCTAAAAAAAATAAAATAAATTACTTCTAGCTGATAAAAGTTGCTCCCCTTCTGTCTGCCCCAATAATACCCTGCAATTCAGAAGTTCATGTTAGTTTGAATTTTTGTTTTGCATGAAGTGTGCAAATGACCTCTGAATTTGTCTCTTTCAGGCTGATACAAACAGGGAACGCATTGAGCAAGCCAACATCAGAGCCAAGAAACTAATTGACAATTAAAGGCTGCTGTCATTGTTCAATGACACTGTCTCTCCAGCTGCAAGCCACCCTATTCAAGGATCTGTGAAACTTCTCCTATTCTGAAATAAGAGGGGCTGGGAAAAATGAAGCAGAAATGAAGCAGTACCCTTTCTATAGGGATTAATTTTCTTTTTTTTTTAATTGCTTCATGTAAACATGGCCTTGACTCCAAGAAAGCAGCCAACATAACTTCCTCCTACTCATCTGCCTTCACTTTCTTTAAACTGCTCAGGGCTAAAAGTGTTATGGCTTTGAGAATCTTCTTGCATGTTTTATTCCCCTTCCCAGTCTCTTTTTTTTCCTGCACCCAAAATACTTTTTTTTTTAATTGAAGTTGAACAAGCAGGGTAACCTGAATTCACAGTTGTGGAAAGTTGGAGAGGGCACTTTGCACTGTTTGAAATACCTCATAAGTTGAGTGTCTTCACTAAAACAGGGACTTGGTGAATATTGTCTGACTTGTGTCTCTAGCGGGCTAACCATAGTTTAACAGTTCAAGCCACATGATATGTTTGGGGTCGAGTTTGTGGATTACAGAATTGAAGAGGCCCACTACTTAGTACTTGTGGGTTGAGGGCTTTAAAACACTTCCTAAACACACAAACTTTAATGTAAAGGTAACTGGAGGGATATACAGGTTTCCATTTCTTTACTGTAAATTGGCATTGGTTTGGAGGCCATGGCTAGGAAATCATGCTGTGTTGTTCTGATAATATTTGTTGTGTGTGTATATATATACCTGACCTAAACCCCATGCATGTGTGAGTAGAAGAAAACAAAGCTATCTTCCCTAAAGTATTTATTTGATGGAAAATTTTATGCCCCACATCTAAAAGTTAACTTTTAAATGTTTGAATGATGCATCTTAACTGGAAGAAACTGAGTAGAAAAGCATGCAGCTTTCTTGCATCCCCTATCAGACTGTGTTTTGGCCAGTTTTCACTGGAGTTCAGTTTATGCCTTTTTCCAGTGCAAAAAAATGACCAATAGCTGGTGCAGAGTATGTTCTCAGCAGTGACTTTGGGGAAGCTTCTCAAACCTACTGAAAACAGAGAAGCTTATTATGAAACTTCTTTGTCACAAGTCTGGAGGAAGCAATGCCTATTTAAGAACTGTATGCTAGGTCTAAATAAATTAGTTCTAAATAGATTCCTGACTTTTTTTTTTTATTGCAGACTTTAGGACTGGCAATCGGAAATACATGTCCGAGTTGCTTGCAACTAAAATGTTCCTGTTCTGTTGTAGAATAGAGGAGTTTCTGACCAGGTGAGGTAAAGCTCTCTTCCTACAAAGAAGAAAAACATACTGGTTTTACTGTAATAAAATCAGATTTATTCCTAGGATTTTCTTGAATTTTTTAGCAAGTAAATTGCTTATGACCTGTATAATTTTTACTCCATCCAGCAATATATTATGTATGTTTTAAAGATGGAAATGATGCTTTGGACTAACCCATGGTACTCAGTGTTGGATGGGAGGAATAATTAAAACTAATAGCATCATGGGGTTTGGTTTTTTTTTTGGAAGGACAGTCCACAAGTATCCTGTAGCTGTTAATAATAAATCCTAGGGCTAGAGAAATTACACTAATCTGCTGAAATGTAAGACAAACAGTGTTAAGTGTTTTGTTTTTCTTTTCAGTAGGAATACAATCAGTATTACTGGTATAGTCTCAGTTCACTCCCAGGACAACTTGATATTAGGGAAGAGTTAAAGAAAACCAACAAAACCCACTCTGTGCCTGCCCCCCCCCCCCACAAAAAACTCTGCCCCCCCCCCCCCCCCCCCCAAAAAAAAAAAGCAAAACCAAACCAACACACAACAACAAAAAATGACCAAAGGATGGAGCTGCTGCATATAATAAGGCCAGTGGTACTGTCTTATGTGAATAAGGTGAAGTCATTTTTAGGAGACTGGATACTTCAGTAGCACATGTTGGCTTCTGTCTGGCTTCCAGTAATTGTTGGAAAGCCAATGAATTTTAAAAGCTCATTATCTACCCTGTTAGTAATGAAAACTATGTGCTTAAAAACAAAAGTAGCAAAGTAGTACTTTTAAGAACATTGCATAGTAAACTTCTAACAACCACTTGCATGGGAAGGCGTAGGGAATTTGTATGCTCTTTTTCCCTTCTTACAAACTTCAGGTTAACTGAAGGAACATTTGCTGCTGGTTGTGAAAGCAAAGCATATGTCATTTAATTATGGTTGTCTTCTGAAACAGAAGATGAAAGCAGTTACTGTGTTCTGCTTACAACAGTGCAAACCTGCTCTGAAGCACCTGGACATTCCAGACATTGGAATGTTCTTCTCCCTTGCCATTGCAAGTCCATGTTCTTGGTGTCCTGGAGCTCCAACAACAAATTAGCACGTTGGCTGAGAGAAAGCTGTGATTGGTATATCAGAATTGAAATATTCATTGCAATGAATGCCACACAATGAAATAACTTCTGAGACTCTAAGCTTGAGTATTAGTGGAATATCAATACTGTTTTCTGATGCAGTGAGAGCCAAATCCATGAGGGAGTTGGTGCCTCTATGTTAGTGCACAACACGGTCTGCTTCTTGGATTGTCTTACTGTTGTCTATAGACTAGATCCTTAATTTCTGTATCTGTGGGATGGAATCAGCACTTGTATATCTTTGTATTTCTGGATGCTATTAAGAATGAAGGTTTACAGTTTCTGCTTTTGATTGTTAAACTATATATTGTACACAAAAAATACATACTTTTATAACTGAATGTGTTTTAAAACTATTTTCTCTTAGAAATGTCTTTTAGTTTCCTGTCCTTGAAAAACTTGGCAGAACTAGTTGCTACTATACAACTAGGAAGTTTCCCTTCTATTTTTATTTCACAGAAATCCTAATGCTAACAAAGGAATGGGTGTGGTTGGAAAAAAGAGGAATATTGTGCTCTTTTTTAACACTCTAGTTTTCATCCCTGCATAATCAACATCACCAACTTCAAACTATGAAATTTATCCAACACTTATTTGAAAGACTGCAATTTGACATGGGACTACACTTCAGGATAATAAAGGAACTAAGTTAAATAACTTTCCAGTCAAGCATCAGTAACAGATGCCTAGCAAATAGCTAGTCTAGTAGGTGAAATCTAGTGATTTAAGCTACGGTCAGTGCAGTTTCACTTGCAAGGTGATTAAAATTGTATTTTCTCTAATACTAGAGGCTCAGATACCCAGAATGATCTTAGGGGGGAGGAGGTCTTCTGATCTGACATATCTTCTTATGCATCTTTTGCTGAATAGACAAAAGAATCCTGATAAACAAATGTTAAATTAGAGAAGCAGCATCTTTGAGCACAGATATCTCCAGTTAACCCACAAACCAAAAAACACCAAGAACCAAAAAACCACCCCAGCACAACATTGCCACATGTGTACGTATTAATGATAGACCATTCCTTTGTAGCAAGTGTGAATGTATTAATGGTAGACCATTCCTTTGTAGCAGGCAGAGTTGGTGAAGGCTAAGGGGCAATCTGCTACCTTGGGGCTGTGTTCTGTGGATGTGTCATGCATGGCAAATCTCTAAGAAAAAAGCCAATACTTCAAATGGGATTTAGGTATCAAGTGGAAGGAGCTAAAATTTAAAACAAGCCTCAGGCTTTTGACTATTCACTGCTGGATTTGCACATGTCAATCTGGAGTCTGTTTGTACAAAGCTGAACAGATTTCTGACTGTACAGGGCCTTGCATTATGGTGACAGACAGATTGTGTTCTTAAAGCACTTCCCTAGTTCTGTCTTGCCAAATGAAGTACCTTCAAAAACAGTCTGCTGTCAACTACTTCTTACAGGAAACTAGTAGTTTTTACACAAAGGAACACCTGGACTGGGGGTTCTTCAGTAAAACTGGTTCCCTGCTTAATGACAGATCTCATCCATCCTTTCAATAAGGAGCTGATGTTCCCTAAAACACTCTTAGACTGGATATTACTATGTGAGAATTGAAATAAGACAGCACTAGGGTCAGGGAACTAAATATCTCTTCTGAGCATCTTACAAATGAACCACTTATCACTGATCTTATAGTTGGTACATTGAGGGAAAATATTGGCACAGAGATCAGTGAGTTTTTCTTAACTGCAGATGGCATAAGACATTGAATACACTTAACAATTACACCAGCACCTTTCTCATCACAGGTAGGAAAGCTTAAGTATAGAACAGTAGGTAAGGCAAGATTGTCTCATTAAACATGGATGCATCCATGCTTACCTTGCCTAGAAGCGTATTTAGTACAGCTCCTCCTTCACTGTTTTGAGTGTGCAGTACTTATTAACAGTACGTATTAACTGAATTGCTACCAAAGCGCTGCATTCTCAAAGCAGTTGAAGTGTAGCTGCTCCCAACAACTGATGGAACTGAGTACCCAAGTGATGGCTTCCAGTGATAGCCCAGTACTACTTGTTGAAGTGACAACAGAAGCAGTTGCACTAAATAAACTTGAAATGATTTTTTTGAAAATTATTTACTAAAATAAACAAGTACATTTTCCTTTTCAATATAAGTTACATAATTGCATACATTTTTAGCTCTTTCTAGGTGCTTTTGGTAATAAGGCAGCAGCAGTAGGCTGACAACTAAAACTTTCAGCATTGCTCTGTACACAAGGAGTCAGTGCAAGGATATTATTTTCTGGCAATATACATTTTTACTGAATACACTGAAGATGAACTTTATTTTTATTCTGTACAGCTCAAGCAGAAGTGGACTGTAGTGCAATTCTTGCTTATGGGAAAAGAAAGCCTGTACAGTAAAATATGAATGAAGGATGCTCAAACCATGATTTGTTTACCAGAAGCAGTTAATAAAACACTTTAACTTAGCTGCAACTATTTGTGCTTCATAAAAAACTTACACAGGTTGTAAACTAAAACCTTATCTGTAAAACTTCTCTGTAGAATAATGCTACCTGCAAGATGTACAATGTTTCAGATCTGCTTTGGTGGTAGAACTTCTATGTGCTATTGGAAAAATGTTTCCAGAAGAAAAAATCAACAGCCAGCTTCCTGACAAAAGGGAACTGGCAACTTTGAAACGCTCATTCCCTTTCTCTGTTGAAAGAGCAAGCCCTGACAAAGAAGAACATGTATTGTGCTAAAAGCTACAGTGGCACAAAAATCAAAACTGGCCCCTGGGCATGTTCATCAGTTCAATACCCATGTTCTCTAGTTCAAGTTTATTCAATGTGGCCTTCACAGACCGTATCAGACTAGTAGAGGAGGAGTACTCTGATCACCCCATTCATCAGTCTTGGTTTAAGTCAGTGAAGTAGGTACTTGAGTCACTAACTCTTCTTACTGGGAACACAGAGGGTCAGAATAATGATCATGCAAACTTCTTCTTTGTAGCTGTAAATCGTTCCATGTACTACAAAGAAAACAACAACAAAAGAAATCTAAGATTCAGAAATTAATACAAGATTCGTTACTACTGAAAGCAGCTAAGCTTCTGCTCTCAGCGTCAAAAGCACTCTGCATCCAAAGCATGTTTTCATTTCCAAGACACGATCATTAGACCTTTAATTTCAAAAAAAAAAAAAAAAAAAAAAATATTTCTGCCATTTGCTGAAATTGAGATTAATGTTCTAGAAAGTCCTCACAGTGCTGAACAGTCAGGTCTCAAGTGCTAAGGATGAACTAATGTTAAACACTTAAGAATAATGCAAAACAGGAAGCATCCATAATTTTTTGTCCCATCAAAGTGACACCTGTCATCATTGGCTACCCTTCAACAGATAATGATGAAAAAAGCTTAGTATTCTTAGGAGGTACTCAGAATACTAAGATTTCACCAGAAGCATCTTAAAAAAAAAAAAAATAAAGGCAAAAAACAAACAAAAAAATACACAAACCTTGTCATAACCTTCCAGTTCTCTAAGCTTCTTGATTTCAAAGAGGTTGCCTTCTACTGCAAGCAGTGAGATCTGGGAATCGCTGAGGATACTCTGAGGAAGCATGCTGAGTTCTAGACAGTTTTCTTCTAAACGCAAGACTTTGAGGCGTGGACAGTGGGAGATCTGCACTGAGATCTGGGATATCTGGTAGAAATAAAAAAACCACAAAACAGAAATGGGATTAAAATGTTAGTGATCCATGATTACTTGAAGTGATTTGTTTCAGACCAATATGGAACAATTACTGTGTTGTAAATATAAACTACATTAACAGTAACTACTTAAAAGCAATGCGTAAGCAACAATAATAATGATCAAAAATCCAAGTAACTTTTTCTTCCATGATGACAGGCAACCTACACATCTCTATCAGATTCTTACTCAAGAACTGCTCAAATCATTTTCTGTATGACTAAATTCAGGATTTGTTACATAAACAAATCAGGCAACAAATCAGTTGGATGTATCAGTACATAAATTCTAGTTCTGATCCCTCATTTCTGTTGTGTCCAGGGGATGTATTTTAGCCATAAAGTTTTGACGGTCTCAGCTTATGTTCTGTGAATGTACTAAGTCCAAGATAAACCATGTCCTAAATTTACATGCCCATAATATCTCAGTTGCCAGACCTGATTCTGATTCAAATTGAGTTCAATAGCTTGCAATTCTCCCACAGTGTCAGGCACATTTTGGATCTGGTTTTTGGACAGATCCACCACATCCAACTGGCGAAGACCACAGAGTTGTGGAGGCACAGTCCGAAGCTGGTTTCCAGAAAGACTCAGAGTTTTGAGAGCTGAAAGTTGTCCAAACGCAGCCGGTAGCTGCCTCAAGTGATTGCCATTCAAATGTAGTGTTTCCAGTTTTTTCAGTTTACACAGCTCCTCAGGTAACGCAGCTAGAAATAAAGGACAGAACAAAGAGATGACCTAAACAAAAAGCAGTAAACATTCATACCTATTTAATTCAAATAAGCTTCTGCATGGAAAACAGTGCTATATTACAGTGATTTCTCACAGGATTCCTCCCCATTTTCCAATGAAGGCACTGATCCTTGCATAGAAACTTAAGCCCATTGACAACACATGCTTTTTAACCATCTTCCGTAAATACCTTAAAAATAATCTGCAGACAAGGCAGACCTTCAAATCACAGCCTAGAAACGCTACTCTGGGAGGATTTTAGCCTACCAGTTGTACTCCTTACTAAAAACTTTGCCAATGTATTCTGTAACATTTGAAGTACCACACAATTTACAGCTTCGGGTCTGCTGCTGCCCTTTGCAGTATTACTCAACTCACTCAAAAGTAAGTTCTCAGATAATTCATACTGTATCGTGCCAGCATATAAACCTCACCAGGTAAACTCTGCCGGTGTGCATTCGTCCTTCATTCTAGCTACATGTGTACAACCTGTAGCACTCTTGAGTTGCACAACAAAGAGTTCTGTAAATTAAATTTGTTTTTCAAAAAGGCAGATAATACACAATTAACGCCTAAAATAGTTCCTTCACCTCATCCTAGTTTTTCCATAAAGTTGGACATTTGTCCAACAGAAACAGTAACAACCATTAAACGGCCAGCAACATTTTCTACAGATCATCTCCATTACTTGTTCTTTATGCAAGTACTAACAATCTGACACTGTTAAACTTTCAGATCAGACAAGAAACAACACAGAAGTATTATGGTTTTAAGTAATTACATGTCATTGTAAAACTGATAATGCAACTAAGTTGGCAACTAGTTTTAAAGAATTTATGGTTTGGGGTTTTTTTCATCTACATGAATTACAAAGATTTCAGTTTAGGTGACTAAACTCCCCATTTACATCCTGTGAGACTTAAATAATTAAATTTAGATTCTGATCAGAGAAGGCAGGTTATTATTTTAAAAATTATCAGGCATACTCAGTCTGTTGTTGTTTAGAACAAGGCTCTTCAAAAAAGAAAATTTTCCAATGAGTGGTGGCAAGAGCTCTATTTTGTTGTTCGACAAGTCTATTGTCCTTAAGTTGCTTGTCAGCTTCTGCAGATCTTCAGGAAACTACGGGGGAGAAAAAAGATACAGCATTTAAATAGTTGATAAAACTTTGAATGTTCATTACACAGGTTAAAAATTTTAATTGAAATTTGTATCACTATCACATGCTGTCATATGTATCCCAATGTCCAATCACCACAGTGTGCAATCAAGTTGGCAAATTTGCTTAATACGTATTTTTAAAAATACCTTTTTAACCTGAAGGGAAAAGGGATATAAAGGAGACAGTCTAACATCTAGGAAGAGTAGTTTTTAAAACAAAGAATTTACATGAAAGAGGGAGAAGGAAGTATACCATGACACAAGCTCGTTTATGTTTTAGTCCTCTTGTGTGTTTAAGGTGCCTGTAATTTAAAAATATTCTACAGCTAGTTAACAACTCTATATTTTAGCAGAGTAGGATTGGGAATTTTTTCTTGTGCTTTCCTTTTTAAATAATTATGTAAACAATTTTCCTTATTCTTATTTACACCCCTGTACCACTTTAATCTGCACTTCGTGCTGAGCTGAAGAAAAAAAAAACCTGACAATCACTGTAAACAAGTCCAGATCAATAGGCCGGTGGTTTTGATTCTCCTTTGCTTCAGCAGAGGAAAAAGGAAAGAGAGAAGATAGGATAGTGGAAGAAGATACCTTAGAAAAGTCTTGGAAAATTACTGCCCTGTAAAGTTATTTTAGCTATCCTGTGATCTGTTACTCGACTTATGATTCCAGGACATTCTGTCTTTTTCTGCAGTTGAGTCAAAGTCAAGACGATTTCTGATATAATAAGCTTCAAGCTGCTTACAGCCCAGTGAACAGCCTCCACAGACTATTCATATGACTACAACTAAATACAGCATAAGTATCTAAACACGACAAATTGTGGAATATCTTTCTAGGTAACAATATGGTCATAAAATTTACATTTTCCCCCTCAAGTTTACAGCCCATTTTTAAAAAAACAAAACATCATAACTAGTACCACTTGAACGTACATGCACTCTAAAGCATAAGTGCGTAAGCGTACAAGTGCCTGGTAGATAAATCCTCAATCAGAAGACAGTGCAAGCAAAAAACTGCTCTGCAGAAAGGAGAAAAAAATTCTCGAAATAACATTGTCCATCACTATTTATGAGAATTACATATGCAGTGCATCATGACAATGAGGTGGGAATTTCTCTCTGAAAACGCCAGTCATGCACACAACCAGCCACGCTTCCCCTCCAGTTACCTTACCTCTGTAAGTCCCTTTCCCGTGAGCTGAAACACACCCGTTTTCTGTGCTGTCTCCAGGTGGGCTTTCAATGCACTATTTCCCATCCTAACAGTTCTCTGTCAAGAGTACGGAGTTCGAGTGATAGTCCCAGCCAGTTTCTCTGTTATCCTGCTCTAGAGAACTGCAATCCAAAGTCTCTGTGATAAAGCAAATGTAAAAAGTCATTTTAGGTGTATCGTCTCCAACAGTACAAGCATTTCAACATACTGAACCGTTTCACGGCTGTGTTTTCACCTCCCTCATAACTAAAACTTAGAACTTAAAAGATTTACTGAGCTTAAGGTGCCTTCATTATAGCAGTTTGAATATTGAAAGGATGCAAAGAGTACAGTTAACACTAAGGGGGAAAATTGCATATTTTCCACATTTCACCTCTTACGGGGCCCAGTAGCATAAGGAGATTCTCCACGGAGACTGTTCATCATTTCAGTGGCACCTACCAGCCCTGACCTGCTGTCCGTACTACAGTTTCATTTGCTTTTTTGGAAAGATTTGTTTCACTTAGAGACTTGACTCCTTTGCTGCGACACAACATCCATCTCCCGTGGCTCCAGCCGGGTTTAATCCCCAGGACAGCCTAGGCCGGGCTGCAGGCCGAACGATCAGCGGCAGGTCCGCAGCCGGGAGGCGGGAATACAGCCCAGCCCAGCACGCACACAGTCGGGACGAGGAGCCCAGAGAAGCAGCCCCTGC